GGTTCAGAGAGAAGGCTACCTAAAGGGTGGGTCAGATTTCTGTCTCCCGGGATAATAATAAAAGGATATATTTTTTAAAAAATATTACATATAGGGGTGCCTGGGTGGCTCAGTCGGTTAACTGGCTGCCTTAGGCTCAGGTCATGATCCTGGGGTCCTGGGATCAAGCCCCACATCGGGCTCCCTGCTCAGTAGGGAGCCTGCTTCTCCCTCTCCCTCTGCCTGCTGCTCCCCCTGCATGTGCTCTCTCTCCCTGTCAAATAAATAAATAAAATCTTTTTTAAAAAAATATTACATATACTCAGCCTTAACACAGGACAATGAAAAGGAAAATGTTTTCACTATTGTAATAAAAAAAATTCAACTCAGATGACCTTGATTTACTACTTTACACTGAAGTAAGCAATATTTTAAAAGTTATATTGTAGGGGCGCCTGGGTGGCTCAGTTGGTTAAGTGACTGCCTTCGGCTCAGGTCATGATCCTGGAGTCCCGGGATCGAGTCCCGCATCGGGCTCCCTGCTCGGCAGGGGGTCTGCTTCTCCCTCTGACCCTCCTCTCTCTCATGCTCTCTGTCTCTCATTCTCTCTCTCTCTCAAATAAATAAATAAAATCTTAAAAAAAAAAAATTAAAAAAAAAAAAGTTATATTGTAATACAATATATGGCATACCCAAACAGAAATAAGCCTTGTTAAGGTTGAATCCTACAGTGGGTGTTGCTTACCTTGTTTGCCCACTCTGAGTATTAGAATCTTGATTAATAGGTAGTGTCCATCCAGACACCAATATATAACAATGTGTGAGAGCAGCGAGAGAAGTGCAAAAATATGAAAAAATAAGAAATAATATATCTAAATCTCAGATGAAGGTATGATTAGGATTACAGCAGAAAAATGCTCTGAGAAAGAAAAAAGTATATTCATTTCTCTCAGTCAAAATAAGAAAAAGAGGGAAAAAAAGCAAAGTGTAGAAATAAATGTTTTGCAGTAAGAAAGGAGATCAATAAGAAAGCCTACATGGGTAGACAGACTTAGTAAATTAGGAGACACAACTACATGTTAAAATGGAGAAGACAGAAATTAAATATTAATGGATACAGAAAAAGAATGGTAAGGATTATTAAATAGCCTTGAAGGTGCAACTGAAGTTAAGACATCAGAAAACTGGAGTACATTCAACTTGGTTTCATTACTTCCTTCACCAATTTTTCAGTGGTCCCAGAGCTGAAACAAGAGAATAAATATTGCAGAAGTAATCCATAGGTTGACTGAGAAAGTCAAGGAAATACAGGAGTTTAAATTGTTTGGGTTAAGTGATCATTTATTGAGCAACTACTACATACTAGACACTTTATCAACATTCTCACAATTCTCAAAATTCAATGAAGATATCCCCATGCCCATTTTATTTTATTCAGAAAGTAGAAACAACCCACTATAGCAATAAAAAGAAATGAAGTTCTGATACATACTACAGTATAAATGAAACTCTAAAACCTTGTAAGTGGAAGAAGCCAGTCATAAGAGATTATGTATTTTATGATTTCATTTATATGAAGTGTCCAGAATAAGCAAATGCATAGAAACAGGCTGAGGGAAAGGTGGGCCAGGGGAGAGGGACTTAAGAGGAATGGGGTGACTGCTGGGTACAGGGGCCTCTTTCTGAGGCGACAAAAATGTAAAAAAAAAATTAGACTGTAGTGACAGCTGCACAACCCTGTAAATTTACTTAAACAACAACAACAACAACAATACTGCTCTGTATATTTTAAATGGGTATATTTTGTGGTATGTCAGTTATATCTCAAAAAAGATGTTAAAACAACCAACCAACCAAACTTAGGCTCAGATTTAGTTTCTTTGCCCAAGGTCACACAGTAAGACAGTGGTAGAGCTGCCCAGATCTCTCAAGCCAAAGTCGTTTTCAGTACAATAGTTGCTACCATTTAGCAAGTGCTAACTATGTATCTCATTTAATTCAGCAAATCTGTGAGACAGAACACTATTATCTCCCTTTTTAAGTGAGAAAACTCAAACTTAAGTGAAGTAACTGGCCAGAAGTCACAGGGGTGATAAATTAATGAGCCAGAATTAAAAGTACATACTCTACCATTTCAGATATTCAATTCATTATCATAATTATTTGCCATATGCATATATGGTGACATTCACTATTATTTACTTAACATTTTTCTTTAAGTCATTTGCTTCTCTTGCCTGACAAAGCTGCAGGAAAGAACGGAGCTATAAGCTGAAAGGGTAGTGTTGCGGGTAAAGACAGGAGTAGAAAACATAGAGGATAGGATATAAGACTGACATAACAGCACTAAGGAAAGGAACTGCAGGGAAAGTTCCCACTGAGAAACAAGGCTTGCTGAGGAAAGGGTCCAGCCTGAGAAGGATGTGGGAGTAGGAAAATGGACAAGTTGCAAGAGGCAGAAGACTTAAGATGAAAGGGGAGAGACTGTAAGATAGGAGTTGAGGCTCAAGAGGTTGGGTCAAAAGGACTAAAAAAAAGCAGGTGGAGGTGGAAAAGGAGACATGAAAGCTGAAAGATAGTAGAGATGGGTGATAGCTGAGGGGAAGAGGTAGGGTGTTGAAGACAACATGAAACCTACAGAATGGTTAACAGGAAAGGCTGCAAAAGAGTGAGCTGGGAGACTCCTGAATAGGCCAGAGGAAAGTGAGAATGAAGCAGGATACAGGGCTACACTCAGGAGTCTGGATGGGAAGCAAGGAAGTATCAGTCAACATCTGGTAATCAAAGTAGACAGGTCACCCACAAAAAGTCTCAAGAAAAACAGTAGTAAAAATTGTCCCATGTTTCAGAAAACACTACCCTAACAAGTACTGCTCTAATCAGGAGGTCAAGGCTTCTTAAGAGGCCAGTTTGTGGCCAAACTGTACCTAGCAGACTAGGTAAAGTAAGTTCCAACACAGCAAAGCTTAAGTTCACTGTGGGTGAGGAAGTGGGAGAATCAGTAATCAAAGAAGCTGTGGTCAGAGAAAAGAAATTCCATGTTCAAAACTGTAGCTCCAAGATGCTGAACTACAAGGTGAGCAGGTATAAAGTTCATTTGACTTCATAATAGAATCTTACAGTCCAAAAGAAGTCTTAGAAGGTAGAAATTGCTAGTAGAAAAGAAAATACAAACAGGTTGATTAGTGACATTTCAAAAAAGCAATAATTCCATAGCCAAAACATAAGAGCTTCTAAAATCAATAATGCACCAAGACATCCAAAATAATCCATGTGTTACCAACCATCTATAATAGTTAAGCAGTCAGTATATCTAAGCTTAAGTGAAGGTGATATATAGAAATTCAGCTTTATGGTAAAAGATAAGCTGAAGGATAATTTGTTTTACTAATAAATTCTGTACTTAAAACAATTTACCACAAGTTTCATTAAAACAGAGAAGTTGCTCATTGTTAAATGAGTGGATTAACCATTATTTAACATATACACAATCTTCCAGAACATTTCTATAGCACATCTATACTGTATTTCATTTACATCTCTTGTTTCTAAATTGGGAAATATTCCAATCAGGTTCCTTCTCACTGTCCCTGCTACAGTATCAAATGAGAAGGTCTGAAAGGTTATAGTCCCTTGGCCTCATCTACTGAAGTCTCTTGATTCCAGTTATCTTCACTATATGAATCATTCAAGCTCTCATGGACATGCTAGTTTCTAACTACCTGCCTATACCCTGGATTAGGCTACTTACTGGATCTACCTGACAAACACTACACTTGCTATTCTAATCTATTCACCTGGATTCAACTCCACTACTCACTCCTGGTGCTACAGGTTGCTTTTACATCCCTTAAAAGCCAGCTGTTTTTAATCCTCAAGTTCAACTCCTTTTCTTCAGGATGTGACTGTCGCTTACCTAGCTCTTTTTAGTTCTCCCAAGGACACTCTCCTCACTCTTGGCATGACCCAGTGTGACACTCTGGAACTACACACACTGACTAGTATAAGCTTTCAAACAGTGGAGGAAGCCTATCACCATTCAGAGAACTAGTCAAAATAGAAGGCTCTTGTTTACCTATTTACACACACACATACACAGTCTTTTAAAGTCCTGTTTGAACCTTTTTCCTAATTTACACTAATAAGAAAACAATACTAACAGCAGGTAGGTTCTTTCTGACTTTCACCATTTCTAATCAGAAAGTTTCCTCAAAAGGAAAAAAGAAAACATACAATATTTATTTAAAAACAAAACAAAACAAAAAACAAAAAAAAAAACCTTAGTTAACAAAAGGAGAAGTTTAACAATATAATCTGCATCAGGACTAAGATCTGCAGTTCTCCTAAATAAAGCATTCTCTTCCTTCTTGGTGGTAGAGATTAACAAAAAATACCCACATGTAACACAAACCTACCAAAATGCACTTGTACTTTTTGCTCCTCTAAAAGGATATTTTATATAGGCTGTATATGGCTCTTATCCACCGAGGAGGAGAGAGAACAAGATTACAAATGAACGTGGGTAAATAAAATCCCATTAAAATAAACTTCAAGGACCCTGAACTCCACCATTGGGTTCAATCAGCCATTTCTCCCTTCATGCTCTCAAAGCACACATAAGATAATTGCCCTTATCTAATTCCATCTTATCCCATACTAGAAGACAGAGACCATGTTTTAGACACATGTATATCCCTAATATGGAGAACCAGCAGGTAGCAGGCATACAAATGTTTGTTATATAATAAAATAATCAGGATGTTAATTATAATCATTTCCATGAAAATTTTTACAAAGAAAACACAGTATTTATGTGTAAGGCCTGGAAGTTAACAGCTGAAGACTAACTTACCATATAAATGAGTTTTAAAATATAAAATAGTACAAACCAAGGGCAATGGATCCCAAAACAGATTTTGGAATAATAAGCTAAGGAATTAAACTGATTAAAGTAACAATGGATATTATAATATATAAATCCCAAAGTGTGACATAATAGTTTATTTTTATTTCATGCTTACATGAAGTCCAAAAATCCATCTTAATGATCAGCTGTGGGCATGAAGAGGCTGGAGATGACCCAGGCTGACAGAAGTTCAGCTCTCTTGGACCCATCATTTCCAAAGTTGCTTTTGGCAGACAACACCCAGCCAGCAGGAGAGAGGAGAAGAGAGAAGAGAGGATTGTTCAAGGAAAGTTTGTATTTGCCAGGGCTGAAGAAACACTCAACACTTCTGCTTAATTTCTTATGGCCAGATCTCAATCATATGGCCATCCCCAAATGCAAGAGGGGCTGGAAAATATAAGTTAGTCGGGATCCAAGAAAAAAGTAAACAAGCTTGGTGAAGAGCAAACCACTCTTTACCTTAAGAGGTTTTAAAATACAGATATTCTGGGACACTACCCCAGGTTATTCCTCATTCAGCATGTCTAATAGGACCCAAAAATCCTGTATTAAATCTGGCCAACTGATTTTGATTCCCAACTTAGGAATTACTGGCTTGGGAAGTAAAGAAATTGGGGAAAATATGAAAAACATTTCCATGGAAAGTTTATAACAATGTGCTAGATAAAAAGAAAGTTAAATAAAAGGTGATGAAAAAATTGAGCCTTTGTGCCTAGGAGAACACAATATAGGTAGAACTTGGGAAATTCTTTCCTCCTCTGGTCTGTGATAGTAGTCTATCCTGCCTCTCTTCCTAACTCTGGTAGCTTCACAGGCTTCCTTTCCTCCACCCATTCCATATTCCCCATTATATTCTCCTTGGCCATGAACTTTTCTCACTAAAAGACCTCATTCACCTCAATTACCATCGAAAACACTTTTCTCTGAACCCAGCCTCTCATTTAACTGCCTCCTATGACAACTTTTCCAATTAAATGTCCCACTAGGACCTCAATATATCCAAAACTGAATTCATCTCACCCTCAAGTCAACTCCTCTGCTTGCATGCCCTATCCACCTAGGCCCCCTAGTCAAAATTCTATAAATCACTGACAAATTGTACTCCATAATTAAAAGTTTTGCCCTTCAAAGAATACTAACAAGAAAGTAGAAATGGGGGAAATTGGAGATATTTTTTGCAAATCACATATCTGATAAGGGACTGGTATCTAAAATATATAAAGCACTACAACCCAATAATAAAAAGACAACTAGCCCAATTTTTAAAAATGTGCAAAGGATCGGATGAAAAGATGCTCAACATTATTAGCCATCAGGGAAATGCAAATCAAAACCACAAGGACATACCACTTTACACCAACCAGGATGACAATAATGAATACAAGATAGTGTTATTGAAGATGTGGAGAAACCAGAACTTTCATGTACTGCTAGTGGGGATGTAAAATGGTACAGCCACTCTGGAAAATGGATTGGCAGTTCCTTAAAATTAAGGCTAAATACAGAGTTTCCATATGACCCAACTAGTCCACTCCTAAGTACCCAAGAGAAATGAAAACTTATGTCTACACAAAAACTTGTACACAAATGTTCGTAGCAGCATTATTCATACTAGCCAAAAAGTGAAAATAATCCAAATCCTATCAACTGTTGAATGGATAGATAAAATGTGGTATGATTCAATGTAATATTATTCAGCAATAAAAATACTGATACATGCTACAGTACAGATGAGCCTTGCAAACATGCTACATAAAATAGGCAAATATATAGAAACAAAAAGTAAATTAGTACTTGTTTAGGGCTAGGAATGATGGGGATGGGGGGGAATGATAGTTTAGGGGTAAGAGGTTTCTTTTCAGCATTATAAAATGATCTAAAATTGACTGAGGTGATACTTACACAGCTCTGTGAAATATTAAAACTCATTGAACTGTATAACTTAAATTGTGTGTGAATTATGTCACAGCAAAGTCTTTTAAAAAAGAAAAAGCTACCAAACTTTTAAATCCAGAAACTGATACAAGAGAAAAGTCTGCCTCTCCAGACTAATTTATACTTCTTATTATAAGATACAAAGTTTTGGGGGGGGGGGGTGGCTGGTACCTTAGATAACAAGAAAATAAAATTAAATGTAGTACTGAACCATAATAACTCTCTAGGCTCTGGAACAAGTATATGTTTCATAAGCAACTGCTCCCTGATTTTCCTTTTTAAATATTTTAACTGTCCTATGCTGTATGTTTTAACATTATCTGTGGCCTCAAATCCTTAAGAGTAGAAAAGATACACCTTTAAGTTTATAATAAATAAATAAGTAAACCATCACTAATTAAGAATTTGAACTTAAATTTACTAGGCAAAATGAACTTTCCACTAAAGCTGTGGGAGTAGTAATTCTATTCAGATTTAGCTTTGCATGCCAATCAGTATACACACAGAAGAATCCTTTTTTAAAAAAATCAGTATCACATAAGGAAGGTGGATAAATCACTTAACTAAGAACTGGGACTGGAGAGTAGGAGTAGAAATTAAACTTGAAGTACTTGAGGACTTTAATCATTATGTACAATGTACTGTTATACTTTAAAACATTACTGGTTTAAGAAACTGAAGATTTCATTAATTTTTGCTTTGAATGAGAAGTACTGTATAACTCTGTGATTCAGTATCACTGTGTGTGTTTAATGTGAATTGTCCACAGAATACACTGTCCAGAACAAAAAGACTTAACCCCAAACTATTCTCTCCAGGAACAAAACTTTCTCCAGGAGCATCTCACTTCAACCCAGGTAGAGTGCATTCACCGAATATAAATTTTACATTAGACTGGAAAATAAAAAGGAAATAAGATAAAATGCTAGAAAACATAATATAACCCAAATCTAACTACTTGAATTATCAATGTTTAATTGTATTTTCATATTTAATTTACTCTAGTGGGACTATTCAGTAAGAAAACTGTCAACTGTCGTATCAATGTAAGACACTTAGTTGTACACTTAAATGAGCCATTAATATAGCTATGAGGATCCTTTAAAGAAGTACTCATTTCCACTCAAACTTCTGCCTAGTACTTAAAGCACGTGACTTGCACTAAAATGTCTTACGTATGTTCTGAATTATAGCAGTAACCCCCTAACTGGTCTCGGGTGTTCCTGTTTGTCTTCTGTAATTCACTCTTCTAAAACTTACAATGTAGTGGTTATTTAACTTTTGGGTGTCATGGGCTCAGAGGATCTAACAGAAGTTATGAAGCTTCTTCAGTACATGTATGCACATTCCTCCAAAAAACCCTTCACAGACCCTAGATTAAGAAACCCACCTATGATAACTTCCCAACACTTCTAATCAAGTCCAAACTTCCTAGTCTTATATTCAAAGTAATTCAAAATGTAGTCACTGTTAATTAGCTAATCTATCTCCTATCCTTTGAAACTACACACACCAATGGGGTCTATCTCCTCACTACAGCATAGATACATCATTCTTTTTTGGCTTGCCTTCTATTCCTCTCTTGTTGCTTTCCTGCACAACTGTTTGCTTTCAACAAATCCTTCCTGTGAACCTCAAATAATTCCCGTGCCATGAAAGTTTCCCTCTGCCTACAATCAGATCATCTATTCCTTTCTGAATTCTGAAGCATGTTATACACATCTTTTATGTTCTACTTTACATGTTCTGCACTGTATTATACAAGGCATCAAAAAAAATCAGTAAACACAAGACACACTTATTTTTTAACTATGTTAGGCATATTTCCAAATAATATGCTCCATGTTTTCCTTCAACCTCTATAAACCTTTTCAGATGAAGTGTATCAGATATTGTGCATTTATGTATCTTTTGCCTTTTCCTAGCCAGTAAGATTTTTAAGGACAAAGATAGTGACTACTGTACCCTTGTGAGGCCCACAGTCTCCAACACAAAGGAAGGGAACACTCAATACAGAATACTTGAATTTCTGAGCATAAATGTTTTTCAGGCATTTTGTATATTCTGTATTCCTAATTATAAGATTTTTCAAGGATCATCTACTGTTTTTCTACTGAACAGTCAAATAATGCTCTACCCTTAATGGATACTTGATCAAGTGAGAGCTTACTAACTACCCAAAATAGCAGTCAAATTATTCTCATCCATTCATTATCTACTTATTGATATATGCCCAACCCTGTTCCAAAAAAAACGAAAACAAAACTTCCAACATATCAAGAATCCTTACCTAATGACCATTAACCCAGAAGAGAACACAAAGACAGCTCCTACACAAAAACAGTAATCCAAATGTAAAATCTACTATCCTTTAGTACTACTGCGAAGTCTAACTCCAGTTTTAAAACCAACTCAGAAAATAGAAACAAACATCCCAGATTATACATTTGAACACTACAAGAAGCAATAAAACAGCATAAAAGTGTAGGAACTTTCTTTAGAAGAAACTCAAACACAATATAAGGTTTATGACCAACTGATTAACTGATTCATGCTATATGAATGGATGAACCTTAACAAGATTACACTAAGTGAAAGAAGTCAAACATAAAAAGTCACATACTGTAGAATTCCATTTATATGAATATCCAGAATAGGCAAATTCATAGAGACAGAGAGTAGATTAGTGCTCACCAGGGACTGGGGCGGGGGGGGGGGGGGGGAGGGAAATGGGAGTGACTGCTAATTGCTTTTTCAAAGGATAGAAATGTTTTGGAATTACATAGTGGTGATGGTTGCACAACTTTGTGAATATACCAAAAACTACTGAATTGCACACTTTTCTGGAGGTTTTACCAAATAATTTTTTTTTTAATTGAAGTGTAGTTGACACACAATGTTACATTGGTTTCAGGTATGCAACATAGCAATTCAACAACTCTATTCATTATGCTACTATCGCAAGTGTAGCTACCATCTGTCACCATACACTGCTATTACAATACCACTGACTATATTCCTTATGCCAAAACAAAATCCCTGTAATTTATTCATTCCATAACTGGAAGCTTGTATTCCCCTCCTTCCTTCATCCCTGTTTGCCCATCCCCCACTCCTCTCCCCTCAGGCAACCACCAGTTATTTATGGGACTGTCTCAGCTTTTTTTGTTTTGTTGTTTTGGGTTTTTTTTAGATTTCACATGTAAATGAAATCATATGGTATTTGTCTTTTACTGACTTATTTTACTTAGCATAATGCCCTCTAAGATATATCCATGTTGTAGTAAA